TACCGAATAAAATATCTTCTTCATTATCCTTAGTATTTCCTTCTCCTTTATTTAAAAAGGAAGAAATTTCTGTCATTGCAGTAGCAATACTGCTATGAGATTCAATTTTGTTATTTTTTGGCTTTCTTGCTTTGGCCCGTAAATTACTGGTTTTCCCCGAAATTGCCTCTCTCTTTCTCTTGAAAATCTGAGAATTTTGAGATGCTCCCAGACATGGTTCTTCGTTTTCTCTTATCGTGTTGGAATCTGATGTATTATCTGTAATTTCATCATCTTGTGATATCTCCATAATAAATTCAAAAATTTTTGCAATGCAGTTTAGTACTGCAACCGGTCGATAGTTATTCTTTTCAAATTTCGCACCGTTTTTGAAAATCGGTGTTATTCGAGTCTCTTTGAACTGGTTCGGGAATACACCACTTTTGAGTGATTTGTTATAGTTTATTAAAAGTGGGTATGCTAAACAATCTTTGCACGCTTTGAAAATGTAGCACGGAATATTGTCTGGTCCAGATGACCTTTTTTTTTTTTTTTAAATGCTTGTTCTAGTTCACAGTGGTAGATCTGATCAAAATGTATATTTTGGAAGAAATCAACACGCTAATTAGCTAACCTGTTAATTTCATCCAAATTATAGGTAGAGTCGTTTTCGTACACTGAGCAAAAGTAATCCGCAAATTCTCCCGCAATAATTTTTTAATCAGATACTCGGCGATTATTAATCCTAAAGTTATTCTCATCATTCATTTTTTGCTTTTTATTCTTGAAGTTCCAAAACAGAGTACTGTCATTCTTAATGTTAGCTCGAATATTTTCAACAAAATTCTTATGAGCATTTTTTATTTTGAGTTTCAATGATGCTCTGATTCTTTTGAAATTCTCAAGGTGGTAATGGGAAAAAATTTTTCGCTTTCTATAATATTCTTTGATTTTTATATCAGCTTCAATTTCTGTAGTAAACCAGGGTGGAAATGATTTGAAATGTCTTGGGTTTTCTGGAAACTTTGGTACTGATACGTCGAGTATATTGTAAAAAATATGATAAAAATAATTAACACAATCATTGACGTCATGATATAGATTAAGTATAGACCAGTCAAAATCTATGAGGAGCTCATAGAGTTGATTGAAGTTCGCTTTTTTGAAATTGTATTTATTCTGCAGGTTATTCATAGATGGCAAGTTATAAACTTTTGTTATTTCATATTCTATCAACAGGGCCGGATGATGTTTTCCATCTTTCTTAACCAATGGTGATGAGTCCTCCTGTACATTCAGTTCTAAGTTACTCAAAATTAAGTATAACGTTCTGCGGTTTTCGTTCATAACATCATAGAATGATTTCAAGTTATGTGTATCTATCAGTGACGACATTGTACTAATGATTTTATTCCGATTGTCAAACTGAAATAGGATACCATCTATTTCTGGCATATTGTAGTCCCCAACAGATAAGAGAAAAGTGTTTTGATCAATTGTAATGGCATCGCATAAATCAACATATTCCTTATACACCTGCGATTTACATCCTGGTGGAATGTAAGTTGAGTTTATAATGATTTCATTTCATTTCTTACGGCAACCAGAACTCCTCCACCCCCTTTTTTTTTGTCAGTTGATTGAATATTTCTATCCTTTCTAAATACTTTATAGTTTCCATCGAAGAATTCACCATCGTTTATATCTTCAGTTAGCCAAGTTTCTGTTAGAATAATGAAATCGTGTGATTCTGAAAATAAGTTATTCTTGAATTCTGCTGTCTTGGTGCGAAGTCCTCTACAGATTTGATAATAAATATTTGATAATATTTGAATTTGATTGATATACTATTTATATGAAGAGTGATGGACAGCTCTTGACTCTGTTTACAAATAATAACTACTTGTTCAAGAGGGAAAAAAACAACAAGAAATAAAACGCAATGTAAGATTGTTTCTGGAGTAAGTAGTAGAACCTACCTTAGTTGAAGAATATATAGTAATACATAAGCCCGAAATTGTTTTCCTAAATGATAATAGTTTCCATAAACTTCCAACTCAATATGAAAATAAATATTTTGAGAAATCGTGAACTTTCAGCTGGGTACAAAAACTCATAGACCGGCAATAAGAAGTCTGCAACATTTTATACCGAACCTTCGTGATCAGTTACAGGTCTTCCGCACTACACAGTTCTTTCTTGCGATCATTGTTTTGAACAAACACCTTTCCTCCCATGGTCCAGACTTATCTATACCCATATTTTTTCTGGGCCAACTGGAACAGACGGCGACCTGTAAGAACTGAAGAAAATGAAATTAATATTCTGGCATTTCTGAATGCACACCCTCATGCGTCCTCTCGGCAACTATGCAAAGAATCCGGAATATCTAAATCGACCATTTCTCGCATAACGAAATGCTCCAAATCACATCCATTCAAACCAAGAATGGTACAAGAACTGCTTCCTGGGGATTATGATAGAAGAGTTCGATTCTGCAATTGGATCACAGGTAAATGCAATGCTGACAGATTTTTTTATCGAAATATTCTATGGACAGACGAAGCGAAATTCTCTAGTAATGGCACGGTGTACACTAAAATCCATAGGTACTTATGCATACGAAAATCCACGTTGGATACAAGTCAGTCATTCTCAGAATGTATGTTCGATAAACGTTTGGATGGGTATAGTCGGGAATCGGCTATTAGGTCCATATTTTTTCGAAGAAAACTTAAACGGTCAAAGATACCTACATTTCCTACTGAACGAATTAGAGGAATATTTGGAAGAGTTGCCTGTCAATGTGTATGCCAATTTATTCTTCCAACAGGATGGGTGTCCTGCACATAACTACAGACCCGTAAAGGATTATCTTCGCCATCGGTTTGGAGAAAATTTAATAACCACCAACTGTCTCAATGGTGAAGGCAACTGGCCAGCTCGGTCGCCAGACCTCACCCCACTAGAATTTTATTTGTGAGGCTACTTGAAACAACAGCCTTATGAGTCGCCAATTGTGAATATGGATGGAATGACAGAAAATCACAAATTTATGCGCACAAATTGATCGCAACGTGATATATAGGGTCACAATGAACGTTATCAAAAGAGCCAGGAAATGTTTGCAGCAGAATGGACGACATATTGAGCAATTGAAGTTTCAATTATTCAATTTTCATCCGATTACAATTATGTTGTATTAATAAAATCTAATTATATGAATTTTTAATTGAATCGTTTTATTTTTCGCCATTTCTTCGTAGTCGTTTGAAAAAACCCCATTAAACCCGGTATCGTTGAATTTGTAATAATGAGCTCTACTCGAATATGGAATAATATACTGGGTGTCCCTATTCACATAAGAAAGTTTGGGTTCACTTCGGTGTGACCCTGTATACATACAATTTATTTGATAGCATAATTTGAGTGAGAATCATCAAATATACTGGGTGAACAAATTCCAAGTCATTTGATCGCGCGGTTGATTTTCTACAGGGGGGGGGGCATTTTAGCTGGGACACGGTGTATATCTTTCCTCTCATGGACATTATCTTTAGCTCATGAAAAAGAAAGTTATTTTGAGAATGATGACATGAATGTGGCTGTGATTGATAACCAAGCACAGAATGATGTCATTGCCAATGTAAATCTTTCCAAAAAACGGGTCAGAGTAAATTCCTTGGATCGAAATAATATCCATGAAGATCATATAACTACCAATTCACAGGATCATGATTTGGAAATAGAGAATACTTATTTAAAATCTCACAACAACTTCAACATAGATGAAGTTCTAAGAAAGACATTCCTATTGAATTTCTACACTGGTTTTGATGATGAAAAACGATTTTTCTCTTTCATCATTATCATCAAAAACCAGGGACAACTGTTAAGAATCCAGTTTTTTCATGATGTGTATACTAAGAACACTGAATTCAGTCGATCAAATATTCACATTTTTCTCCAGATTGCGGCTTGGACTTTTTGTACATGATTTAGCTTATAGGCATAAAATTAGCCTTCATCTGTGTCAATGAGAATATACAATTTTTGGCTAAATGTAATTTACTCATATCTCATACAATTACCTTTGTGGCCATGTGAAAGTTTGGTGGTGAAGTATATGCCAGATGCATTCAAGAAACTATATCCAAGCACAAGAATTATATTAGATGCAACAGAAATAAAAATTGAAAAACCATCTTGTTACAATAATCAGAGCAAGACATTCCCACTATAAATCTACAAATACTGCAAAATGGTTTTGTTTCATTCATATCAGAACTGTATCCAGGTCGAATTGGTGACAAAGATTCATTTGTGGAAAGTTACCTTATTCAAAACATCATACTGCACATGACATGGCATTCGACCTTACCTTAGATTTTGACGCCACTGAATAGCTATATCATGACTAGATATTCATGTATTATCCTCTCTTTATTTTTGTTGGTATGAGAATTCATGTGGAGAGGAAGATTGGTGAAGTGAAAATTCAATGTACTGAAATCTACTATTTTCATCAGTACAATGGACCAATTAAATAAGATATGGACAGTTTGTAGTTCGATGCCCAATTTTTCTAAAATACCACTTCTAGAAGGAAAATGTGATGTATAATTGAATGGGTATTCATAATCAATTTCAATAATTGTTTTCATTTCAAAATCGAAAATGTCCTTCATTCCCAGTGGATGTTAATATTCAAATTGGATCCAATGGAAATAATATTGAGAACATATATCATTTTGAAGTACTCATAAATAACCCAATTGGTTTCTGATACTCTATTTTATTCCCAAGATTTCATTTTGTATCTCTGTGGGATATGGAAGAAAAAATTATTTTGAAGATCAAAATTATCAAATAATACTTAATATGGAAAAAGACAGAAACAATTATGTGATAAATAACATAATATTCATATCTTCGAAAAAATATGAAACATTCTTCAAGTTCAGAAATAAATAAAACTTTGTTCCAGGAAAGAAATCACAGAAGTCTATTACGGATTAACAATGAGTGATGGACAAGATAACAGCAATCCCACATTAGGAGTGAATGCAGCTGTAGGAGCAGATATACCATTTACTCCGCAATATTCAGAATTGTACCCTAAGTTCCTCTATCACAACATAGTCCCGAGTGCTGACCCTAAGCATCGTAATACTTTGTTAGTAAAAACTGAAAAGATTTCTGACGATGGAGAAAACACAACCATAGGTCGAATAATCTATTGCAGAGATGCTATTGAAAAAGGATTATGTCTGAGGGGATCTAATTGTAAGTACTCACATCCATATGAGTACGAGAGGAATCCCACGTTAGCACTTAGATTGGATCATATCATATCACATCTCAATGAACTCCATATTATGTTGGATCTTCCGAGCAGATGCACTGAGCCTCCTCGCAAATTTGTAGATAGATTCTCTTCGCACAATAATATCATTGATCGTCCATGCCCACCAAGTTTAGGAAGGAACGAGTCTCGGCCGAGTACTTCAGGAAGTGAATCTCAACCTCCAGAACAACAGCCCGTAACCTCCAGGAGAGATAGAGGATCAAGTCCAAGAAGAGGTGGCAGACGAGGCAGAGGTAGAGGACGGTCTATCACAAGAAGCATATCCAGTGATCGGTTGAATAGAGGATCTTCAAACCAACTACTGAGTTTGACGGAGAGGCTCACAAAATCCCAACCCTAGACTAGATACTTCCATCATAAAAACATTATTCTAGCATACCTACTTACCTATTCAAATCACAAAAATTTAAACTGTGAATTTTCAGTAAACCAAACTAAAACAGACCGATATATTCAGGTAGGTACGAATTCGAATAATCTCATAAAGTTGGTGAGCTCAACATTTCCAATTGTGACAGTGGACTGAGCCAGTGACTTATCAAACTGATTGAAATAAAATTTTGTGAGAATGGGTGAACTCTGGGCTACCCATAAATTTTCGTCAAAACCCATGACCTCTATGAATACATCCAAGGAACTATCAACCATAAAATGGCACTTATTGAGTCCTGTTAAAGCCATTCGCGCGTTTTTTTTCAGATGAACTTTGTTAGTGTATTTACCACTATTCTGTCAGGTGATGCAGCTAGGTATGGAACATCAGTATTCACACATATACCACAACTAAATGCTTGATAATTGGGATATTTCTCAAATTTACTGGAAGTCGATCTTTTTTCCTTTCTTCAAACCATAATCTGCATTGATTTTGACCCCGAGTCTGTTTCTCCAATTCTATAGCATCTTTCTCAGATATTTGGCAGTGTTTCCACAACATTAAAGGTATCTCATATTCTTCCACAATTTGGTGAAATTCATATTCCCATTTTACTGACAATGGAATAATGATATTGTCCAGATCATTCATTGCATTTTCATTGGGATTGAGAATAGGCTAGTGGTTTGAATTCATTTGCTTCTATCACCTCTCCTAGAAAATTCAACCCATGCTTTTTCAAAATTGCTACATGCTCTATGAGGACTTCTTGGGGAAGCTTTTCTGCTACATGATACTGATTCAACAGTTTCCTACGATTTTTCCAGTTTTTTTCTGTGGACTTTTCTTTCTTGGCTGGGGTCTGGTTTCAGAAAGATCATTTGATGTAGTGGTGAATTTACTAATGTATTAGAGCCAGTTCCCCATTCCCTCTGTTTGGATGTGCAAGATATATCTTCTGGGATGTATAGGATAGTTCATCTCTGATGAAATCCAGTAACTGCCATAATATTGAGAACACACATGCTTACATCTACCAGATACACCACCTATACATTCACAGTAACCTCCAGAAACTATACCATTATGGTCTAGAAAAGTACTAGGTACTATGACTTTTTTTTTTCATAGCTGCCTCTACTTTGGCTTTCACTATAGACTGCATTACCATGTTGGCTATAGTGAATAAACATATTGTTAATTTTGTTCGTCTTGAACATTCTGTAACCCAGAAGATGATGTTTTGACGTGTCCTTATATTACAAGACGCTCTCTTCCTTGAAATTCTTTGGAAACCTATCATACCCCTTTGGAAGTAGAATAATCAACATCAGAAAATATTAGTGGTATATGAAATAATATATTATATATAATGTAAAATCATCACCTGTTGCTATTATTATCCATACCCTCAATCCATACCTTAAGTTTATAAAGAATTTATATAAATAATAATTATGAAACTTGAATTGAATGTATTTATTAGGAAAATGTTGATGAATTGGCGGGCTTATTTTAATTCGAATAGACAACTGACAGTGATGAATATTGACATTGATGACATATTACTAATAAATGCTGCCAACCCAAGAACACTCGAAACGTGTCGAAAATCTGGTTGGTTGTGTCCCAGTTCTCATAATAAACTATAAATTGCTTTTAATAACATTTATCTCATACTTCACCGTATCACATTGAGAATCAACAACAACACTCGGTTGTTCATAATAACTACCTAGTAACATCTAGACCCTGTTCTACTTTCTGCTTTACAAAATTAAATTTGATATCCATATGTTTCAATCTCTTCTGATCTGGGTTCTGTACAGTTTTCATAGTACTCTGATTGTCTTCATAAACAGTTAGTTACATGCTTAACATTTATATTCAAATCTACTAACAATTTGATCAACCAACATGCTTCTACTACAGATTCACATGAAGACATCAATTCAGCCTCAGTTGTACTGAGTGCTATAGGAAGTTGTCTGTTTTTTAGATCTCCAAGCAATAGTATTATTATATAATTTGAATACATATCCACTACTCGATTTCCTATAATGATCTCTAGCCCAGTCTGCATCAACATATACTATCATAGGTGACAATGAACTGTCATAAGTTCAAAAATAAATCAAACTGTAACATGTAGTGTGTTTCACATACCTAAGAATTCTCTTCAACGCTTTCCACAAATTTTCACTTGGGTTTGATTGATATCTACTAAAATAACATACAGAAGTTGCTAAATCTGGTCTTGAACCTACAGCGGCATACATAAGAGACCCTATCAGTGATCTACATTGCATTTCATATTTCATGTCAATGATTGAGTATTCATCTAATTTAAAATTCACCTCCATAGGTGTATTACTCCCATTACAATTTTCCATGTTATGTTTTTGTAAATATATAAGACAATAATTATTTTCTGATCTTTCAAATCCATATTGGGTTATAGTGCTATTAAATTTTTCATTCCAATACTTCGGGGATTTTTTTAATCCATATAATGATTTAGTCAATTTCAAGACTTTTCCTTCTGGTAATTCTAATCATTCTGGTGATTTTAGATACACATGTTCATTTATGTCACCGTATAAGAAAGCTCCCTTAACATCCATCAGGTGTATATGGTATCCTTTGTAAACAGCAACAGCTGAACCTACATTTTTCCTTGATAAACCCCATTTGCTATCTAACAGTTTTTCCTTTTCTGGTTTTGGTACAATTTTCCACGTATGACTCTCTTCTAAAATTCCAAGTTCTTCGTTTATTGCTTTTTTCCAATCTTTTTTGTCTTCTCTTTCTTCGATTTCTTCATAACTTGAAGGCACATTTTCTTGATTAGTAAATAATGCAAATAAAGCTTCATCATCACTGGAATCTATCACATAATCTTCTTGTCATTTTGGTTTCCTCGTTGTTCTTTTCTCTATCTCTATTATGGTTTCTCTTCTTTTCTCTCTCCCTTCATTCTGTTCTTCTACAATTGGTTTTCTTGAAATATGTTCTAGCACTTCATTTTCCATTTTTTCAATTCCCTGCTTTTCTACTCTGGGTGTTTTTTCACTTGGTTCAATTCTTACATCATACTGTGTTGTTTCTTGGTTATTTGAAGAAGTATACATAATTTGATCTTTCAATCTTTCATCGAATATCACATTTCTCGTATTTATAACTTTATTGGTTTCTATAGGTGCGTTTATTTGGTTTCCCACTGGTGACAGTAGAATTGGCGACCAATAAAACGATTTTGGAGAGTTGTGACATTCAGCTGATCTTTTTCAGGTTATATAATATAATTCCGTACATGATTATAATTATAATAAGATTTTAAAGAATGTTGTTCCCGCTTTCTTGTTATCCTCCTTAGTAGGTGCATCGGTTAGAAGGCAAAATACATTTATATTTATCGATGAAATTGACCCCTCAATACTTGAAAGTATTTTATACTTGTAAGTCTTCTGATGTTATCTTAAGGAATAATTGACTGAATTTATGTTAATACTTCCAGATTTTCTAGCAATATCATACCAAAAATCCAGAATTATTACGAAGAAATAATAGTCCAGAAGTGTTTGAAAGTATTCTGGGTAGAATTGCGAACAATCGTCATTTCCAGAAACACTTTCGTCATGGAGGCAGACAAAGAATTGATGTAGAGAAGATGGTTCTCATAGCTATTTGGACTTTAGCCACTCCTGAGAGTTATAGATCTGTTGGTGATAGGTGAACAGTGAAATCAATTCTGGAAAATTTATGCAGATTATGTATTAAATGGCCACTTCAACATGAGAAGCAGATGATCGCAACAAGTTTTAATAAATATTGTTTGCCTGGTATCATAGGAGTCATTGATGGTTGCCATATACCCATCATAAAACCCCTTGAGCACCCCATTGACTATTTCAATAGAAAGAAATTTTACTCAATGATATTGCAAGGGATTTGTAAAAATGATCTATCTTTCATAGATGTTGATGTACGATGGCCTGGAGGGGTGCATGATGCCCGTGTTCTTCGAACAAGTTCAATATACCCCATTGGTGCCCAACTATGTGAAGATAATTATTATATATTGGGTGATTCTGCATACCCTGTGTTATCTTGGCTGATTCCACCATTAAAAAATAATGGACATTTAACACCAGCTGAAGTATATTTCAACAAGAGGCTTTCAAAAACACGAGTAAAGATTGAACATGCATTTGGGGCTCTCAAAGGACGCTTCAGACGTTTGAAAGAATTGTTAGACATCAAAGAACCACAGAACATAGCTAATATTATTGTTGCTAGTTGTGTTCTTCATAATATATGTATCATATGATGATTCTCACCAGTACATGGATGTTGATTTGTTACATATCGAAAATCTCCAAGGATATAATGACTTAGGAGGAATTCAATTACGGAATCAACTAGTATTGCATTTATGGAATAACAGACCACAATGAAAATGATAATATATGTATTACAGAATTAAATATTGTTAGTTCAAAATGATTTGATCATTATAATAAATCTTGATATAAAAATTTGACTGTAGTTTTACTGTCTATATATTATAATTGGCAATTTTATTATTTCTATGGTGGAATTATGCATCATAAATTCACACAAAAAATTTACTGTAAATTTCCTGCTGCATGAATCTAATCATCAATAATCAAACAATGCCTGGACGTTCTCCGAAGTACTCATTCATTGTATCAAAATATACCCAGTTTTTAGGCTTGTTGCCAGCGGTCGCATTGAAATTACGCACTTCTTTATACTTGGTTGTCATGCGATTCAGACATTGCTCACCTGTAAAACAGTGATTATGGTTTTTCATTTCTGTGGAAATTCTTTGTACACTTCAGTTTTTTTGTACTTGGGGTTGTTCAATCGTTCCTTGTTTTTATTGCATATATCTATGAGAAGAAGTGTTTGTTCATTATCCCAAATGTTCTTCCTTTCTA